ACTAATTGGGGAGTGATACATGGGGAAAAAGAAAACATATTTCATTCTTTCACACTATAGGTTTTGGGATAAGAGAGCCGCTACTTGTCTCGGGATTAAATCCCTGATCAAACCAGGGGTGCCACCAACATTTTTGTTGGGATAAAGCCACTTGTACATTACATTTCTATATCATAGTGTACATCATTCTTGTTGGTAAGATTTGATTGATGAAAATCTATTTTTTAAACTATCAAATGGTAGATTGACATGTGGTGGACTGTGAAATTTAGTATACACTATGATGTACACCAAGCATGATTGATAGGGTTCGACCAAGGTTGCTCAGATTTCTCCAATCATGACCCTTTTTTGAAGCTATCAAAGGAACTGGATTGATAGTAAGTACATATTTAATGATCATTATTTCAAAATTTCATAAATCACGTACTCATTTTTATTCACATATTTACATAAATTATTTTGTATGTAAACTCAAAAATTTTTTTTTTTCTATTTTTTAATCATACATTATTTTAAAAATTACTACTGAAAATATTACTTTCTCAAAATAATGACTATTAAATAAGACCTAAATAGAGAGGCATAAGTACTCAACGAGGCTCTTTTATTAGAAACGTATCAATTGTGACAAGTTAAGGTGACTTCACATACATTATGTATGCACATATCTTATAATTGAATATTAAATTAAATAATAACGCTAAGAAATTGTAAGAATAAGCGTTTTAATCTCGTACACTTGATTAAGGAAAATACTTTTTGTACATCATCATTTATATAATCTTTTACGGAGATGATGTGTCAAAAAAAAGTGAGGAAGTTTTTTTATTAATTAGTTGATGAGATTTTGACCAAATAAAAATCTCGTCGTATGATCTGTTGATAAATAAATTTGTAAGTTGTAATGTACATACAACACAACTGATTGTTTAATTATCATATTTTTAGATTCTGTTTGTTTGCCATTTTGTTTCTCATTTTTAGAAGAAATTAGGTCGTTGATGGTCCCACCTGACCCTTTTTTTACTGGCTTCTTACATTGTGGGTGAGTTACAGGCTTCCATCGGTAAGAAAAAGAAAACTCATTATA